AAAAAGTCTTTAAATTCTATATTATATAAGTTAATATATACTATATCTAAATAGAGAATATATTATACTTAACTTTTAGCTTACTTTTTATTTATATTTATTATTATAATACGAAGGTCTTATTCTAAAGTAATATAAGTAAAATTAATTAATCTTCGAGATACTTTTTTAAGCACTCTAAATATCTCTATAAATATTTTATAATAGATAATATATATTTTAAGATTTATAAAAACGTAGTAATAGATATTAATTTTTATTTATAGTTAGTATATATTAATTATAAATAGAGTATAAGCTATATCTACGTTTAATATTCATATTTTATCTCGCAAGTAAGAAAATATTTATCTTTTCTTATATTATTTTAAAAGCTAGATTTATTTCTATATATTAAATATATTAAAAGATTTTAATTTATATATATATATAGTATATAATTATATAATACTCTCTATTAAAGTAGATAATTAATTAAATTTATTAATTTTTACTATCTTTTAGTTAATCGAAAGTATACTTACGTTAAATTTCTATTAAAGTATTTATAAAGTTAAAATAAAGTTTAAAGAAGTAGTATATACTTATTATAAGCTATATATTTATTAAAGTTATATTAGTATATATAAAAGAATAAGATAGAGCTAAATTAGAAAATCTTAAATTTATATATATAGTTAATTATAAATTCGTTAGGTCTACGCTTTTTAATTAGATATCGCGAGTAAATAAATTAGCGTTTATAACTATTAAAAATCTATAAAAATCTATATATAGAAGTCTTATCCTCTGAAATAACTAGCTTTCTACGAATACTATTTCTTTATAATTTAATAAATTATAGAGCTTAATATACGCTTTCTAACGCTATAAAAATAATAAAGTTTAGTCTACTATTAATAAATTAAATAGATATTTAAATATAGTAGTTATAATAGTTATATTAGACGCGTTCGAGATCGAATAATAATCCTTTCATCTATTTATATAATTATTCTTCTTTTATTATTCTACTAATTCTATTAATATAAATATATTTATTCTCGATATTCTTATACTTAGTTAAATAAGAGAAGAATCTATAATAGACGAATACGAAGAATACTACGAAGAATATTACGAAGATAGTTATTAGTAGTAGTAGTAACACAATAGATCTACTCTCTACGATCTCACATTAATTCATTTAATTAGTATAAGAGAAGTTACTATAGTAGACGAATACGAAGAATATTACGAAGAAATTAAGTAATAATAAAGCTTCTAGCATTAAGAATATAGCTTAGCTCTCCAAAATTTTACGTTATATACTCTCTACGATTTTATATTAAATTATTACTTAATAAGCGAAGAATATTACTATAACTTAGTCTATTATTCTTACTATATTAAAAAGTAAAAGAAGAAACTATAATAGATAAATACGGAGAATATTACGAAGAATACTACGGAGAATATTACGAAGAAATTAAGTGATAATAAGACTATTATTATTAAGAACACGGCTTAACTCTCTAAGATCTTATATTATATACTCTCTACGATTCTATATTAAATTATTACTTAGTAAGCGAAGAATATTATTATAATTTAGTTTATTATCTCTATTATATTAAGAAGTAAGAGAAGAAACTATAATAGATAAATGCGGAGAATACTGCGGAGAATACTATAAAGAATACTACGAAGAGATTAAGTAGTAATAAGATTACTATCGTTAAGAATACGGCTTAGCTCTTTAAGATTTTACGTTATATACTCTTTATAATTTCATATTAAATTATTACTTAGTAAGCGAAGAATACTACTATAACTTAGTTTATTATTTTTACTATATTAATATAATATATTACTATAACCTCTATAGAAGAAATATCGAATAATATATATTTAAACGAATTAAAATTATTCGATGTCTTACTCTAATAGCTATTTTATTATTCGAAAGATTTTACTACGATAGAAGATAATATAGGATTTATATTACTAATTAGTATATTATCTTTATTTCTTTCTAATATTTCGATACTTCTTATTATAAGAATATAGCCTTTCTCTATTTTTTATAAGTAATTATTATAAATTAATTCTTTACACTCGATATACCTTCCTAATTAGACCTTAGCGCGCCTCTCTTCGTATATATATATTTATATATAGGTTAAAAACGTATAGTAAGCGATTAGAGTTCGATTTAACTTAGAACTAGAGCTAAAATTCGATTTAACTTAGAAAAATTCAACTCTATAAATTTAATTCATAGGCCTTTACTTATTAAATTTATACTTTAATAATCTCTACTTTCGAATTAAAGTAAAAACTTAATCTTCGATATTTAGACTTTAATAAATCGCTTATAGCGAATCTTTATTATATTTCTCTTTAAAACTCGCGAAAAATAAGGAAATAATAAAGCGCTTTAAGAATAATTAATATATATATAGCGCTTACTTAATATATATTTAGCTTACACGTAGTTAGATTTAGTAAATTATACTTTTTAATAATCTTAATAACATTATTCGCGATAGCGCTAAAGAGCTTAATTAAATATAATAAATAGTAAGAATATACTTTATATAAGACTGATATGAAAAATAGAAAGTAATCTTAATTATTTAGAATATAGAGATTAAACCGTATATTATAACTAAGTAATTTTATCTTATCTTATTTTTAGAGATAATTAAATACTATATAAACTTGATATATATTAAATAGAGAATTAGAATAATAAGATATTTACTTATTATACTATTTATATTATTATATCAAATAATCTATATAAATATAATTCTCTTATAAGGATTATAATCTAAATTAAATAAGTTCTTATAGATAACTAAGATTTATATATATAGTCGTAGGTAATAAATATCTTACTCGATATTATAACTTTAAATTATTATTCTATAAATAACTAACGAAGATAATCTATAGATTATAAGTATATACTTAGCATCTATTCTATATATACTTATCTTATTTCGCTTAAATACTATAAATAATTAATTTTAATATATCGTAGTATTCGATTATAGACTTCTATAGTATACGTCTTATATTTACTAGTCTATAAGAAACATATTATATTAATACTCGATTTTCGTTTTAAAATATTTCTTGATTAAATGAGAGTAAAGTAGAGAATTAGATCTTTATTAAAGATTATTAATATCTATAATATTAACTTAATTATATAATTAATATAGAGTAATTATATCTCGATAAATATATTAATAATATTTAATTCTACTATATTTAAACGCTTACTTTTATATCGCTTTCTTCTTATCCTTTTTATTATTTTTAACTAAAAACTATATTTTAATAAACTTTATTTAAGAGTAAATTATATCGATCTCTAAATAATTAAATTATATCTAGTTTTAATTAGTTAAGATATATTTAAATTAAATATATATAGAATCTATTATAAATATATATTAATAAATTATCTCTTAAATACTCTTATAATTTTCTCTATCGAACTTCGATCTAGTATATATAAAATAAAGAATTTTATTTATATTTATCTTAAGATATTTAAATAGAATAATATAATTTTAAATCTTATTAGTTATTACTTTACGCTAGCTATTTTAATTAATAATAATATTTATCTTCTTAACTATATTCTATATATAATTAATATATATAAGTATTAATATAATATAAATCTTATTATAGAAGTTAAGTTTATAAAGAGAGAAATAGTAGACTTTAAATTCTTTACTTTTAAGTTATTTTATTTATTATTACTTCTATTAAAAGAATCTAATAAATAAAGCTAAATTACTTATTAGTATATATATTATATATATAATATAAATATAATATATATATAAGATATAAGTACTTTAATATTATTTAATTATTAAATAATTTTCGCTTTAATAGCGTTATAAACTTATTAGATAAATATATTAGATATTATAATATATATTAGATATAAGTAAAAATAAAATTTTACAATAAATAAAAGAGAAAATTTTAAATTTATAAATAAGTTATCCCGCGTGGGCTAACGTCGCTAGACTAAATTTAATTTTCTTTACCTTCGATAAGGTGCTGGCATATACTAAGTATATCCCTTTCACTTCGGACGAGGTGCATATACTTAGCATCTACTCACCTCTACCGAACTTTTTTTCACCCCTGTCGAGCTGTAAGCCCCTTCTAAAGTCCTGCATGGTATCCCTACTCGCGCCGGGGATGAGGCCGGCCACTTGATTGGCTGCCGCCGCGGGCATGGCAGCAGCCGTAAGATTCATGGCTAAGCCTATTGTAATTAGCTATGCAGTACAAATTCCTGCGATTACAGGGCTGACTTGCTGACGCTCTTCGCCCTTATCAAGTAGCTAGACATCGATCATCTCTACGCATCATACCACCAACTGCCAACTTTTCGCCGATTTACCTCCCGCATTAATAGCTCTGAAGGAAGGGAGGTAAGTATGTAAGATAGGGTTGAGTATCTCCTTCTCAATTATATTGCATGCTGACTGGATAAATGCATTCCATTTAATGCATCGCGAAATGTGATTTAATCCTGCCAGGCTTCCTGCAAGCCACAAGTGCTTTGAAATCAAGTAGTATTCTGCAGAGATCCGGAGCCGTGAAGCTGTATATTGTGTGTTGGAGTACACGATCACCAAGCAGTTGTGCTGCGTCTAGTCTCATTTGGTGGAAGTAACACCAACAAACAAGACCCCTGTTGCTTTGAAATCAAATACCAAGTAGAGGCGTCGGTCCTGTATGATCGAATTGAATTTGTAAGCCGCTCGGACAACCTTCCATTTTTTCTGTTACTGACACCATCAGGAATGAATATAAAGAATATAAAAAATTACTGCTTACCAAGCACACACCATCCATCCCATTTTCACTCGCTCATCAAGACCTAAAGGACATCTTACACCTTCATGAAAACGCCCTTCAGCAAAGTCATCAAATCCATCACATCCAGAAGACAATCTCCTCCAGCCAATACCGTCACCATGCCATCACCCACCGTCTACCTCATCACTGGCGCCAACAGAGGCGAGTAAACATCAATTCCACTCTCCAAGCCAGCTACTTCAACCTTCACGTCAAAAACATCTTATTGACATGACTTTTCTTCAGGTATCGGGCAAGGCCTTTTAGCAACCTACCTCGCCCGCTCTAACACAACCGTCATCGCCGGCGTCCGCGACCCTACCCACCCCACCGTCAAAACACTCACCACCCTCCCCAAAGGCTCCTCCAGCACCCTCATCATCGTAAAAATCGACAGCGCCTCTGAAACCGACGCCGCTGCCGCCATCAAGACCCTGGAATCCGAGCACCATATTACCTCCTTTGACACCGTCATCGCCAACGCCGGTATCTGCAAGCCCCAAGGCTTCGGTCCTGTCGCTGGACTCAAGATCGACGACGTGAAAGAGCACGTGGACGTCAATGCCATCGGGCCTCTGGTGCTCTTCCAGGCGACTCTGCCTTTGCTTCAAAAGGCCGCCCACGGGCCTGGCAAATTCATCACCGTCAGCTCGCCCATCGGCAGTATTGGCGGCATGGAGCAGCGTCCCTTCCCCATGGCGGCGTACGGTGCTAGCAAAGCTATGGTCAACTACCTCACGCGCAAGATCCACTTCGAGCACGAGGACTTGATTGCCTTTGCTGTTGATCCCGGGTATGTCTCTCTCCCCCTTGCACTCACCCCCCCCCCCTTCTTGTGGTGTTCTGCGATCAAGCTAATCGGCCTTGTCATGTCTGTCGTCACAGCTTCGTGCAAACCGACCTTGGCAACAAAGGTGCCGCTTTTTTCGGCATGAAAGAAGCCACTACGCCCACCAAGGACAGCGTCGAGGGTCTGGTCAAGGCGATCGATGGTGCTACGCGCGAGAAGACGTCTGGCCACTTCCCGGACTTCGAGGGCGGCGAGTTTGCTTGGTAGAGAAGTGCATGAGGTTTGAAGGACCGAATCGTGGGTCTTTGTTGATATATACGATTCGGATAAACTCCTTACCCTGCCGCTCTATGGAGCACGTTGTATGTATTATAGAGTAGAAAATCGGGTGGCTGGGGACTGAATCTGGCTGGGATGGCTTAGGCCCGAAACTTTGACTTTCTTTCATTAATGGACATGCTCTCTCTCTCTCTCTCTCTCTCCCTCCCTCTCTCCCTCTCCCTCCTTAGCCTTTGTAGCTACGTGGAGGTGGTGATAGGCCTCTTAGGTATCTTACATTAGATATCTAGCAGCCAAATTACCGCGAAAGGTGCTTTCGTCCATCTGTCAGTCATTCCTGCCAGCGATGATGCTTCTTCTTGTTCTTCTTTCTATGGCCTACACGACGTTTCACACTGCTAGGCGTTCACTCGGCGACGAGAGCACCTCATACACTTCATCTGAGTAAGGTATTTCGCATTTTGTTTATCGGCTAATTTTTCAATCTTACCCTGGTTTGTGACAGAGTAAAACCTAGGGGTTTTTCGCTGAATAAAGAATACTTCTTCTCGTAACTCATTACAATAAAGAAGATCTATAAAAAAAAATCTTTAATTGTTATTAATATATCAGTATATATAATAGAATAAGGTAGGGCTGAGCTTAGAAACCTTGAATTTGTATGTGCAGCCAATTATAAATTCGGGTCCTGTACGCTTTTTGGTTAGACCGGCTGAGTCAGCCCAATAGCCCTCCCGCGTTTCCCTTATCAAAAATTTGTATGTAGAAGTTTTACACTTTGAAGTACTTAGCTTGCGATATATATAGTTACTTTATAATTCCTCAAATTGTAGAGCTCGCTTTACGCTTTCTAACGCTGTAAAAATAATGAAGTTTAATCTACTATTAATGAATTAAATGAATATTTAAATATAATAGTTATAATAGTTATATTAGACGCGTTCGAGATCGAATAATAATTCTTTCATCTATTTATATAATTATTCTTCTTCTATTATTCTATTAATTCTATTAATTCTATTAATTTTATTAATTTCATTAATATAAATATAATCGTCTTCGATATCCCTCGTCTAAAGGTTACTTAATATTTTAAATATATATATTTCTTTTACTCGCCTCTTAGAGTCTCTACTAATATCTCTAGATTATCTCTTAATAAATTTATTACTATTAATAATTAAGGCCGTAAGCGAGTTTAATAGCTATTTACTACTACTTATAAACGCGTTAAAAGACTCTTAAAAAGAGCTTAAATGAATATATTCTTCTCTATAGATTTCTTTTAAGCTAGTAATAATATCTTTTAATTTAGCGATATTACCTTTTAAGACGCGTCTTTCTTCTCTATCTATTCTTCATTACTCTATTTTAAAGCCTCTTAACGCGTATTAGATTCTAAATATCGTTTTTAAATTATCTCTCGATAAATCTATTACTATTAATAATTGAAGCCGTAAGCGAGTCTAATAGCTATCTATTACTACTTATAAACGCGTTAAAAAGTCTTTAAAAAGAGTTCTTACTTAGCTAGTTACTTAGTTTAATACTTTATAAGAGAAGAAGTAAAAGAAGAAACTATAATAGATAAATGCGGAGAATACTACGAAGAATACTATAGAGAATATTACGGAGAAATTAAGTAATAATAAGATTATTATTATTAAGAACACGGCTTAGCTCTCTAAGATCCCACGTTATATACTCTCTACGATTTTATATTAAATTATTACTTAGTAAGTAGAGAATATTACTATAATTTAGTTTATTATTTCTATTATATTAAGAAGTAAGAGAAGAAATTATAATAGATAAATATAGAGAATACTACGGAGAAATTATACGATAATAAGACTTTTAGCACTAAAAATACGACTTAGCTCTCTAAGATCTTACGTTATATTAATTATTTACTTAATTAATTACTTAGCTAGCTACTTAGTCTAATACTTTATAAGAAAAAAAGTAAGAGAAGAAATTATAATAGATAAATATAAAGAATACTACGGAGAAATTAAGCGGTAATAAGGCTATTATCGTTAAAAATACGACTTAGCTCTTTAAGATCCCACGTTATATACTCTTTACGATTTCATATTAAATTATTACTTAGTAAGCGAAGAATATTACTATAACTTAGTCTATTATCTCTACTATATTAATATAATATATTACTATAATAATATTATAAGAGAAGAATCTATTATAACGATTATAGTTAATTGAGTCTCTATAGAAGAAATATCGAATAATATATATTTAAACGAATTGAAATCGTTCGATATCTTACTCTAACAGCTATTTTATTATTTAAATAATTTCACTACGGTAGAAGATAATATGAGATTTACACTACTAATTAATATATTATCTCTATTTCTTTTCGATATTTTAATACTTCTTATTATAAGAATATAATCTTTCTCTATTTTTTATAGATAATTATTACGAATTAATTCTTTATACTTAATATACCTTTCTAATTAAATCTTAGCGCGCCTCTCTTCGTATATATATATCTATATATTATATAGATTAAATTAATTTTATAGTAGTGAAAGTAGGTTAAAAACGCACAGCAAGCGATTAGAGTTCGATTTGACTTAGAGCTAGAATTAAAATTTCATTTAACTTAGAAAAATCTAACTTCATTTAATCTAGAAAAATGAAAATTTCAACTCTATGAATTTAATTTATAGGCCTTTACTTATATAAAAGAATATAATAGAATTAAGTTAAAAAATCTTAAATTTATATATATAGCTAATTATAAAGAAAAGTAATATATATATATCTTCTTTTAATATATATATATCTTTTTTAATATATATATATTCTCTTAAATTCGATTAGCTTTCGCGTAGCCGCTAGTCATATAAGGTATAAATCTTATATATAGCTTTCTAGAGAATATTATCGAGACTCTTAATAATAGTAAGATAAGCTTTTTTAAATCTCTTCTAATAAAGTCTAAAAGATTAGATAATTTTAAATCGTCGATAATAAGATCTTTAAATTAATTCTTCTATAACGATAGCTAATTAGCTAATTACTCTCTCTTATTACTATTAGAAATACGTCTATTATATTCGAATATTTACTATTTATTAATTATCTAGTCTTTCTATAGCTAGAAGATATTAAATATAATCTTATTATTTTATATATAGACTAATATATTACGTTTATCTAGCTATCGATTATCTCGCTATTCGTCTTATATAGTTTAACTCTACTTCGACTATATATAAGATTTATATCTTATACGACTAGCGATCGCGCGAAAGCTAATTAAATTTAAAGAAAGTATATATATATTAAAAGAGAGTATATATATATTAAAAAGAAATATACGTATATTATATCTTATTATAAATTTAGAGTTATTATACTCTTTAATTAAATCGACTAAGTTAGCTCGCTAATTCTTTTAAGCTTTCTTATTAAAAATTTATATATAAAAGTTTTATACTTTAAAATAATTAGCTCTCTACGAATATTACTAATATATATAAAAGAATAAAATAAAGTTAATTTAAAAAATCTTAAATATATATATATAGTTAATTATAAATTTAAATTCGTAATAATCTTTAATTAAATCGATTAAATTAGCTCGCTAGCTCTCTCGAGATCTCTTATTAAAAAATATATATATATTATTTATATATATAATAACTTTTTTATTTTCTTTTAGAATTTTAAAATTTCTTTTTTTAATTTTAAAATATAATTTAAGTATTTAGATAATAAAAGAATTCTTAACTTTAATCTTATAATTATTAATCGAAAAGGTATAATATAATATAAGATATTAATCTATTATATTATACTCTAATATAATATAAGTTATTAAGATTTATATAATTTTATATCTAATATAATATGAAATCTTAGCGAGATATCTTACGATATAATATATCTATAATATTATACTATAAAATAATATATATATAAAATATTTTAATTAGAATTTCTATATTTAGAAGTAGTTATTCTAATTATTATTTTAATTAATAATTACGCTAAATTAATAAGATATAGAATTAAATACGATTATATTTTATTATTTTATATATATAAAAGAAAGCGAGCTATATCTATTAATAATAAGAAAAGCTTATCTTTCCCTAGTATTAGTCGCGCGAAATCCGCTAGTACTTTATAATTAAAGTCGTCGATAATAATTTTATACGTCTATTATATATTTTCGATATCGCTATTTAATATAAAATTATATATATTATAATTATAGTTTTTTTATTAAATCGCTAACTTAGAAAAATTAATATATTTCTTAGTATTCTCTTAATAATATTATAGCTTAATATAATAAGCTATATTTCTCTAAGTTATCTTCTCGCGATATATAAAAAAAGATTAAATATAGAAAGTATATAAAAGTATATTTAATAATTTTAGAACGAATTAATAATATCTATAATAATAATTAAAATTAAGAATTAGATATACTCGAATAAGAGATAGCTTTACGCTACTCGTATAATAGCGATAATAATAATTAAGATTTAAATATTGACTTAAATAACGTAGCTTTCGTAATAAACTTTTTATTATTATACGCTAGATTAATTATATATAAATAAAGATTTATAATTTTATCTTTTAGATATAATTATATTTAATATTTTAAGATTTCTATAATAGCTTAATACTTATTAACTAGCGCGTTAATATTATTATATCTAAACTATAATAACGCTTATTATTAAATTCTATATTACGCTCTCGAGTAATTTAAAAAATAGAATTTACTTAATTATTAACGCGTATAATAAAATTATTTTTAATACTTATATTTTATTTAACTTCGATATTATTTATTTTCTTTTAATTTAAACTTTTATCTTTATTTATATATATAATAATTCGCGTAATAAGCGAAATTTCAGACTTCTTCGTAATTACGCTCGCGTACTTTCTTTATATAATACTATTAAAATATAAATCTATTAAAACGATAATTA